CTTTTCTCCCATTCAATTCTCACAGTTTCTGAAGCTGGTTTTTCTGGGCTTTGTTGTTCAACGAGTTTGTACTAGATGTCTCCACATAACTGGCTCTGCTAGCCTTTCCAAACTCTTTTAGAGATCTGTTCTCTCAAAAGCAATCTTCAGAATAGAGAGAGTCTAGCTGGGCGGTGGAGGTGCACGCCTTTAAACCCAGCACTCGGGATCAGAGGCAGGTGGATCTCTGTGAGTTCAAGGCCAGCCTGGTCTCCAGAGCGAGTGCCAGGATAGACTCCAAATACACAGAGAAACTCTGTCTCGGAAAAAAAAAAAGAGAGAGAGAGAGAGAGAGAGAGAGAGAGAGAGAGAGAGAGAGTCTAACAAATGCATGTAGATTGTTTCAAAAGTTCCAAAAGACATAAAACTGTTACTGGAAAATTAACAAGTTCCCACAAAGAGGAAAAACTGTCCTCTTGTGAACTGTCCCCACACCAGTTCATAGAAGCAAACTTGACTAGTAATGTCTGGAGCATACAGATCTATTAGTAATACCTTGGACACTAACATGGGAAATAGCTAAGGATTGAGCCACAGGGCCAGAAACACTCAGGGGCTTAAGCTGGGAGCCCTTTTCTTAAAGACCTATGGGTTAACTGTATTGCCCTCTACTTAAAAAGCATGCAAAACCATTTCCTATTCCATTCGGGATCTGAAGGACGGAGGAGTAAGTATGAAAACTCGGACTAGAAGAAGACGTAGGGCCAAGAATGAGCTAGTGGGGTTTCAAGATCTGGCAGAAGTTGTCTGAGGTCCCTCACAGCCCTCCAGAACTAAGTCTGCCACTTGGAACCCTGCAACAGGTCAGCTCTAGGAAAAGGTAAAACATGAGCCAGCATGGCTTCCCTTATTGTAGAAGATCTAGAGGTGAGTGGGACGTCTAAGAGTTGCTGTGGGTCACTAGGACCAGAAGGACAGTGGTAGATAAATGAGGTACATAATAATCTATGTGGCTTGTCCCAGCTCAACAGGTCTGTGCAAACAACCTCAACCTGTTGGAAACCTTACCCTCAGTCCTGGGACACAGTGAACATGCACTCCTATTTTAACCAAAAGCATGCAGAAATCCAACTTTAGTCAGGAATCATTTTCAATTGCCATTCTGGCCCAGCCTACTGGTACAGGTCTACAGTCCTCACTACTCATGAGAATGAGACAGGAGGGCCTCGAGTTCAATGGTAACTATAAAGGGGGTTAAAGGGCAGCCTGGGCAACTTAACAAGACACTATCTCAAAAATAATTTTTTAACTATGTGTTATTAATGTTTGTGTGTGGGGGGTGTCACATATGTGTGGAGGTCAGAGGATAACTGTGTGGTATCAGCTCAATTCTTCCGTCATGTCCCCAGGGCTCAGGTCCCCAGGCTTGCACAGGAAGTGCCTTTACCCAGTGAGCTATTTTGCCTGTCTAGTAAAAGGCTTTTGTTTGTTTGTTTTTAAGGGAGGGCTAGGGATACAATACAGTGTTAACCTAGTGTGGATGAGACTCTAGGTTCAAAACACAAAACAAGATTTAAAAAAGCAAGAGCAACTACCATGACTGTAACATCAACCAAGTATTTGTCTGTGTGTGTATACAAGGAACTGAACCTAGGACTCTACCACACACTATATTCTCAGCCTAATGTTCAATCTCTGCACAGACAAACTAGGAAAAGTCTGCCTTGTCAAGGACTATCATGAATCCAAAGCAAAAATGAGAAAGATCTTACCCATAGCACATTTTAGACAAACAGCATTTTAAATCCAAGATATAACTTACAAGACTACAAAATCCACCCTTTATACATGTACAATTCAGTGATTTTGTTCAGTACAGTCACAAAGTTGGACAGTCAACATCACTATTTACATTAGAACATTTTCATCCCTTTAAAAGGAAACCCTGTACCCATTAACAGTCACTCCCCTGCCTCTACAGACTTGTGTCCTGGACATTTCATGCAAAGGAGTCACAATATCTATTGATGTTTTGTGTCTGCCTTCTTTTTACACAGTATGGTTTTATGGTTCATCCAGACTGAACATGCCACCAATAATTCATGTTTCTGGTACGGACACATCACTACATGACGACTTGGGCTTGCTTAGTAAATTTTTTTTAAGTCTTTTATGTATTCGTAAGAAGATTTGAAATTTCTTGGGAACAACTAACTTCCGTTTCCTTTTTAAACTAATTCCTAAAGGCCCCACTAAAGAACATCAGTCACATACAGGTAAAAGAGTAGCTAGCTTATCTAGATTAATTTTCTCATCCTGTTAATGGATACAGTGTAATTAACCAATCTGCACATATCTAATGATTATACAAAGTTTGCTGTGTAGGTGATAAAAACTTTCCTAAGCCCTGCACAGGAATGTGTCTCAGCAGGTGCTCTTGACAGCACTCTGGACCTTTGCACAGTTCACCTGCTTGTCTCTAGGAGTCATCACATCACTGTACACAGTCCTTTTTAATGTCTCTTTCTCTCTTAGGGGTGGGTGGGTTGAAAGACTTTTCCATTTTAGGGGCGCAGTCTTTTCCTAAAACCAAATCCAGGATTTGTCATGTAGTAACATTTTAGTGGAGATTGACAAAGATAAAAAAAATTTAATTTCTTAAATCCCTATTAAAAATTCAACAGAGATGATCAGGCCAATCATCCTTCAAAGTCTAAGACTTGGCTCTGGAGACTTACCTTCTCTAAGACATACTTAATTTTTTAAAATTATACTTATATATTACAAAATCCTCAAGGAAATCCCCTTAAAATCGAGGTCATGTTTTCACCCTGAGTAACCCCTCCTACATCAGGCACTGAGGCAGTTTCTGATGGCCCTGATCTCAGATGTGCTTCTCTGTAGCTGAGGGAACTGTGTGTGACAAGGTGATTAAAAAGAATGCTACTTATATTTCTTCCCGGTTCGAGGAATCCCTGGAACTAAACTTAAAAATGATTCACACTAGAATCTGTTGTGGAATAGAATATTCGTTTAATGATGTAAAGATGTATTACATTGTGTTGCAAAATAAATATGTAAAGGTGTGCTGCATTTGTCTATGCTGTATTTGTTTAACTATGGAAAAGTGTTTTGCTATTTCACCTTGCATGCTTAAGGCACCTGATTGGTCAAATAAAAACCTGACCAGCCAATAACTAAGCAGAGGAGGGACAGGTGGGGCTAACAGGAATTGAGAAAAGGGGAGCCAATCAGCCAGTCAAAAAGGAAGCAGGAAGGCAGGATGGGCAGTACCTAGATAAGGTAAATGAGACTTGGGGCAGCATGTAGATTAACAGAAATGGGTAAATTTAAGTTAAAAGGAAAACCAAAAAGCTAGCTAGAAACAAGCCTAAGCTAAGGCCAATCATTAATAATTAGTAATAAGTCTCCATGTCATGATCTGGAGGGCTGGCAGTCCAAGAAAGCCTGCAACAAGAATCTGCTATTTTTCTGGGATTCATAGTATTTGAACAGGAAGAAACTAGAAATCAGTTCTAGCCTAATTGTTTTCCAAGTCAAAAAGGTGGCCAAGGGATAAAAGACCAATCTGCAGGCTGTGCTGGTCAATGCAGCACGGCTAGCATAGGTACTCAGGGGATGCTCAAATCACAGCACCCCTGACAGGCGCAAGAGTGGAGAGAGCTTACTTTCTAAGAGAAAAAAGCAGAAACAAAAGCTACAACTTTTTGCTTTTAAAAGTCAGGGTGAGAACTGGAGATCTTAAACATTATTCCCTAGTTTGGATTTTAAATTGCCACTGAGACACAATCGTCATGCTGCTTTTGCCCTCAAGAATAAGGGAAATAAATTGCCCATCTTGTCTTCTATACTACTCAAAGCTTTTTCACTACAACTATGCAGCTTTTGATTTTGTATGACCCTAAATAATCTCAGCCTCTTTTTCCACTACCAAAATCTATAGTCCATTGGCCAGAAGAACAGGCACGTGCTCTAAGCCTGCTGATCAAGCTGGAACAAACAGGGCCAACCAGAATCCTTCCTAGAACTATACCTGATACAGACGCTCAGAAAAACCAACCCCCTCCCCACCACATAAAGGATGTCTACAACAGTAGAGCCTAAGAGAAACAGTTCTAATGTCAAAATCACTGGTTCTCAGTCCTGAGCTGGTTCCTTTCATCTTGACAGTTAACCTTTTATCTTTTTAGAAGATTATTTTACTAACTTACTTTTATGAGTGTTTTTGCATATGTATTCTTGGTGCCCTCGGGGGTCAAGAGGGTGTCAGATTCCCTGGAACTGGAGTTACAGACAATTGTGATCCACCATGTGGGTGTTGGGGATTGAACCCAGGTCTTCTGAGAGAGCAGCCAGGGCTCTTAATTTCTGAACCATCCTTCCAGCCCATAACTTTATATCTTTATCAGCTTCAGACCAGAAGATTTCTTTATTCTTAAAATTCTTTGAGCTGGATTTTTTTCTGTCAGACATAACTCAAAAATCCAATTATACTCAAAACCTGAACTACACTGATTCAACAAAGAGGACTAAGATAAGCCCAGAACCACCAGTCTCACTGAGAATCTCTACTGTCCTTCAAAGCCTTTGTTAATAATTTTAGATTTGGATGTCTCTGGGCAGGTACTGCTGTGTTTCCAATCTATTACTAACATACTATCATCACCAATGACACTCACCATTCCTGTTACAGCAATCCCTGCTATATGGACCCTGAAAGCATGAGTTTGTCAACACTTCACTAGGGCATTCCTAGAATTTTTCAAAATCCTAATACAAGCTTGAGTCATTTGTTTCCTATAACAGCTGGATAGAAAGTGGAATTTTAAATTTTTTTGGAATTTCAAAGACAGTTGAGGCATTGATTTCATAAAACAAAATTTCCAAATTTAAAGCAAACTCAACAAGGATAAGGCAATTTCAATATATTTTATCATAATAACAGCATGTTTTTTTACTTTATAACATTTGAGATTAGTGACAAAAATCTCAAAACGTACCTCCAGTAAGGCTCCTGTTTGGAAAAATTTCAAAGGCTTCTCTATTGAATAATAAAGACTGTGGTAGCTGCCCTTAGCCAGGTATGCTCTCACAAGCCCAACTGCTATCACCAGCCACCTAGTAAAAAAGAGAAAGTGCAATTAGGAGAGAGAACAAAACCTAAGTTGGATATAGTAAAAAAAAAAAAAAAAAAAAAAAGATATAGTAAAAGCATAACTTATTTAAAAAAAAAAATCCTAGAATACTGGATTTATCAATTGCAATGGTTTGGCTCTAAGGTCGAGACCCCTTTGAGTGTCAAACAATCCATTCACAGGGGTCGCTTAAGACCATCAGAAAACATTACAACTCATAACAGTAGCAAAATTACAGTTTGAAGTAGCAACAAAAATAGTTTTATGGTTAGGGCTCACAACAACATGAGGAACTGTATTAAAGGGTCAAAGTGTTAGGAAGGTAGAGAGTCACTGCTTTAATGCTACTACCCACCCCACACCCATGTGAAGGGCATGCTCCCCAAAGTGACACTACTTGGAGGTGGTGGAACCTTTGAGAGGTGAGGCCTACTGAGAAGTAAGTTACTGGGGACATGCCCTGAAAGAAGATTGTGAAATCCTGATCCTCTTTCTTCCTCTTTTGTGGCATGATTACAAGGTGAACAGTTCTGTTCCTGCTTTGTCACTTGGCCCAACACAAGGAGGTCCTTCAGCTGTAGGACTGGACCTCCAAAACTGTGCACCAAAACAAACCTTCCTTCTTTGTAATGGGATTATTTCAAGTGTGGTATAAAAGTGATGGACACGCCAACTATAGCTCCCAAAGGCCAAGTTGTAGCACGAATAAGTGTTACACCACCTACAGCATCCTGTTAAAATAAAATTACACAGTGGCACCTCACTCATCTGGAACTTGGTTCTTCGGTAAATATATCTGCTAAGAACAAGACTAATACAAATGGAATAACCTAACATAGTCTTTGTGCAGTTAAATCAGATCCCAGAATGTCTAAGGGGGAACAAAGTGTTCGGGTTTCAACTGTGCTATTAAAGGGGCTTTAATAATAATAGTAAGACTGGAAAAACTATTTTCACAAGTGTCTCAGTGGGATATGTCCATATATAATCTTTCTTACCTAAATCACCTATGGAATATGAATAAAAAGTTGCCTTTGAAAAACAACAGTTTTAAATTTCCCAAAACCAAATGAGAAAAGAGATCAATAGGCTTATTGATTAGAAAAACATGAAACAAGAAAGCACAGGAACATACAGTTGTGAACATTACTTTTCTGCTCCATTTTCCATCTCAAAAACAAATATTAGGCCCTAGGATCCCCTATTAAATTCCATAATGAAGCTGTCCTGGAACTCACTCAGGATGGCCTTGAACTCAGAGATCCACCATGCACAACCTGAGCGTATGTTTCAACACCTCCCATTTATATTACTAATTCTTTTCTGTATATTTGAAAGCTTTACCTAAAAAATAGCTCCCATTTATATTACTAATTCTTTTCTGTATATTTGAAAGCTTTACCTAAAAAATAGCTCCCATTTATATTACTAATTCTTTTCTGTATATTTGAAAGCTTTACCTAAAAAATAGCTCCCATTTATATTACTAATTCTTTTCTGTATATTTGAAAGCTTTACCTAAAAAATAGCTACAGTGGTAGGGATATAGCAGAGAAGAATGGGTGCAAGTGTGAGGCCTTAGGTTCAATTCCAGGACCAGTAAATAAACAAAGGAATGAATGCTAGGAAGTCTAGAGTGGTGTCACGGGCCTCTAATTCCAACGTCAGAAGACAGAGACAGGAGGATCACAAGTTCTGGGCCAACCAAGACTACATGAAGAGCTCTCTAGATCTAAAAAAAAAAAAAAGCAAAGAAAGGAAAAGTAAGAAAATGTGTTTCACAGCTTAGAAATTTCCTAACAATTTATATTGTGATCCACCTCACCAAAACTACCGGATTTCGAAACTGGATTCACCTAGCCCAATTCCACCTAACCGGAAAAAAAAAAAAAAAAAAATCCAGAGGCCCAGAGAAAGCAGCAGATTCATTCAAAGTCACACGGCAAGTTGTGTGAGAACTAGAACTAAAACCCTGCTATTAAGGGACAGACTGCAATAGGGCAAAACCATTTTGAGGGTCGATACTCTCCCAACCTCAACTTGCCCCAGTCCTGTCTAGGAAGTCTATATCCGGCCATCGGACAGCTCCGACTCGGGTGGCTGGCCAAAAACTTTGAACGCCTTCCCACTCCCTCGGAGATGAAAGCTCTGCCCGGGTTTTGAAAACCACCGCTGAAATGA